GAATAATAGTAATAATAACGGTAATAATAATAATAATAACAATAAAAACAATAATGATAATAATAACGGTAATAATAATAATAACAATAATAACAACAATAATGATAATAATAATAATAATAATAATAACAAGAATAAGAATAACAGTAACAACACTAATAATAATAATAATAATAATAATAATAATAATAATAATAATAATAATATAATAATAATAATAACAAGAATAAGAATAACAGTAACAACATTAATAACAACAACAATAATAATAATAATAATAATAATAATAATAATAATAATAATAATATAATAATAATAATAACAAGAATAAGAATAACAGTAACAACATTAATAACAACAACAATAATAATAATAATAATAATAATAATAATAATAATAATAATAATAATAATAATAATAATAATAACAATAATAATAACAAGAATAAGAATAACAGTAACAACATTAATACCAAATTAAACAATAATAATAATAATAATAATAATAATAATAATAATAATAATAATAATAATAACAAAGAATAAGAATAAAAACAATAATAATAATAACGGTAATAATAATAATAACAATAATAATAATAATAATAATAATAATAATAATAATAATAACAATAATAATAATAATAATAATAATAATAATAATAATAATAATAATAATAATAACAATAATAATAATAATAATAATAATAATAATAATAATAATAATAATAATAAACTAATAATAACAATAATAATAATAATAATAATAATAATAATAATAATAATAATAATAATAATACAATAATAACAATAATAATAATAATAATAATAATAATAATAATAATAATAATAACAATAATAATAATAATAATAATAATAATAATAATAATAATATTAATAATAATAACAATAATAATAATAATAATAATAATAATAATAATAACAATAATAATAATAATAATAATAATAATAATAACAACAATAATAATAATAATAGCAATAATAATAATAATAATAATAATAATAATAATAATAATAATAACAATAATAATAATACTTAATAATAATAATAATAACAACAACAACAATAATAATAATAATAATAATAATAATAATAATAATAATAATAATAATAATAATAATAATAATAATAATAATAATAATAATAATAATAATAATAATAATAATAATAATAATAACAGTAGCAACAATAATAACAACATTAATAATAATAATAATAATAACAATTAACTTTCCACTAAGTATCGATCTGCAATTAAATGCCTTTCAATATTACACCAAATAATAAAAAAAATAAAGAAATTAAAAATAAACTCGATACAAAGCAACAGAGACAGAGACAACGAACACAAAGAAAGAGTTGAATAAGGAATTGTGTTTAGTCATGTATTCCTCGCCGATTCTTCCCGCCAAAACCGGTCAGCTGATGAGTCGACTTTGTTTACGTTTTTTTGGCGCGAACATTATTTATTTTTTTTTGGCGCGAACATTATTTATTTTTGGCGCGAACATTATTTATTTTTTTTGGCGCGAACATTATTTATCTTTTGGCGCGAACATTATTTATTTTTTTTTTGGCGCGAATTTTCTTCAGCTCATTTTCAGTGTTGGTTTTTTTTAGCGCGTAATAATTGATGATAAACTGGTAACTAGAGAAAATGAAGATATATAGAGGGAATAGAAAGAAAATAGAAAAGGAACAAATAATGAGTTTATTATCATTATTATTATTATTATCATCATTATCATAAATAACACTGACCTAAAGTGATAAACTGAGCTGAAACAGAATATGACAGACAAACAAACCCTTATCTAATCACTATACCCCACTACCTACAACACCCACCTATGATAACTGCTGCTGAGCGTGACTTGTGGTGTAACTAGGCGGTTGTCACTAGCTTACCTGAGAGAGAGAGAGAGAGACTAAAAGATGAACATAATTGCAAAATAAAATATAAAATTAATCATTATTTCCACGTTATATATTTACCAAATTAAATAAAACATATATAAAACTTATATATTAATTTTGGATATATGTTCGTACGTCTGGCAGCTAAGAAGAGTACGATAACGCATTTAGCTTACGGCGGTGGCAGCGTCCTTGTGTTGTAACCCTAGGATGAACACCGTAATGGTGGAAAGATCATCACTTAAATTGTCTTAAAATCTTTCTCACGAGGAGTACACTTCCTCAATGCGCGCCCCGTGGGTCTTATTGCGCAGATGTGGGTTTGTTTTAGTGCGGGAAGGTTTAGTATAGCTGGAGGGTTTAGGTTTAAGGCTGTGAGGGGTTTAGATGTTGACAGTTGTTGGTGGGGTGCTTGGAGAGGGTGGTTTTTCTAAGGACGTCAAGGATACTTTCTCTCGTGTGTGTATGCTATATGACCGTGTGTACATGTGTGTGTGTGTCATCCTCTCAAGAACTGTATACACTCACCCATGTACGTACACAAATACGTACATTCAAGGAATATACGTACATGCATTATAGTGATTTACATACATGCGTACACATTTGTATACGCACACATATGTAAGCATGTACATAGACACAAACATACACATACACACACACACACACACCTTAAAATATTGCTATTTAATTTTTCTTATATTTATTTAAATCACGAACGTCAATCTCTAAAAAAAAATAACAAAAACACAATTCCTTAGGGTATTTACAGTTTAAAATTACAGTTAATACAAAAAATACGGTAGTTATTTCTCAAGGTTATTTACCACTTTCATTTGTAAGTTATTATATTTTTTGTTTATGTGCAATCACGAATGCTATGGCGGCCATCTTGTCTGGGGGAAGGCCGGAGGAGGCAACCATCAAACGTGAGATTTAAGCCAATTTAACTATAAACCCCATCATGTTATTATATCCTGTTGCTCTTATATCATCCCCAGAATAATGATATAATTGATAAATAACATGATAAATTTCAGGAATTATGATGTTTGAGATATTTAATGATTTAATTGACTTTTAATTGGGTGTTCCGATAGCTAAACAAGATGGATAATGCCATTTCTCAATATCTATAGTTATTATTGAATTTATCGTATTAAGATATATTTATTGGGTAATTTCATGCAGGGAATGAAGTAGTTGAGTAGTTATAGTTGTTTTTAGAGATTATTAGCCCAGAAAGAGTTGTATTAAGTTCTCACGTTCTCAAAGATTCCTAGTTGAAATTTTCCTCCTAACTGGTGATGTGAGAACGTATCTAATTGAATCACTTAAACTATCATAGAGACGTAAAACCTAACAACCTAACCTAACCAAAATAATAGTAAACATTTAAGCCCGTAGCTCACAAGGTCGACTGTCACTTGTTTTTCCCGCGTAAAAGATCAGTGTAAGTAGAACAGCCGACACCTAAGTTGGCTCCTACGGTCATATCCCATTTCCCTACATTCCCTCCATTTGAGAGAATACACCACCTGTTTTTTACCTCACCTGTTGAGAGAATGTAGATAATATTTAATCAGGTCGCCTATTGAGTGTTTTTTTTAATTAGATGTTTAAGTTAATTTATCTAAGGGTGTTTGTTTACTCGGGTGTTTGTTTTGGATAGATAGATAATGTTTCGTCTCGTTTAATTGTGTTTTTATATTTTTCTCAATTTATTTCACTTTCTTTCAATCTCTTTTCTTCTCTCTCTCTCTCTTTTTCATTCTCTCACTTTCATTTTCTCTATTTCATTGTGTCACTCAGTCTCCTCTCTATCTCTCTCTCTCTCTCATCACCACACATAAACCAAGTACAATGTCTTTATTTAAATATATCTTTCATAAAACTTATGACCACGACATACATAAACAAAGGGTCCTCAATGCCACTGAAGATTCATACGTCTTTCTATCCCACTGAACTTTGTCCCCCATAATGTAAACAAAGGGAGATCTATACCACTGAAAATTGTCGTTTTTTCGCCAGATCTCAATACCACTGAAAATTCGACTCTTTATCATTCCCACTGAATCTTGTCCCTATAATGTATATGAGGGAGCTTTATACCACTGAAAATTGTCGTTTTTCTCAAGCCAGATCTCAATACCACTGAAAATTCGACTCTGTATCAATCCCACTGAATCTCGTCCCTATAATATAAACAAAAGAAGGTTTATACCACTGAAAATTGACATTCCCTCAAGACAGAATTCCCACACAACATCTCCACCAGCCAAACCATCGTCCCTTACCTCACATGACCTTAAATAACCTCAAATGACCTCCCAAGACACCATTACCTCGTTAACCTTTTGAGGATATGACCTTATGACCTTCCCAAACTCATCCAGCACTGACCTGACGTACCCCCTAGCTGATAGAGGGGTCAGATGGGTAGCTCTTTCGTCACTGGCAGATTAGTCACGATCGGTAGGGAGTGTCGTGTCTCTGCTTACATGGTGCTGATAAGGAATTTTATACACACACACACACACACACACACACACACACACACACACACACACACACAGAAGCTTATCACCATCCCCGACACCGGCCCCTACTACCACCTGAGATCCTGTCCGAGAATTGTTGTTCGACACACAACCGCATCCAGCCCATACGTGCACGAACTGATCGCTATAAGAACAGCCTCAGTCCCAACCATTGTAAAATTATCAATAACATGTAATAAATCAGTATTCACTCCCAGTAAAATAACACTGCTCCCTACACTGCATCACTATGTTGAAATGAACTGAAGTTTGAGCTGATCCCATCTGTTATTATATGTCTTATTTGTGTCACTGTATATTATTTGTAATTCAAAACCCATTCCCAAATATGTAACTGTATATTTTCAGCCCTTGCCAAGCTTTTCAATAAACCGTTAATTATTATTATTATTATTATTCACACACACACACACACACACACACACACACACACACACACACACACACACACACACACACATGGGTCAGATAAACAAACAGATTAGAACCCAGAACTACATTGTTAGGAACCCCTCTCCATGAACTCTGCCTCCCCCTGTAATTCCCCTGTGACCTCCCCTCCCCCTGAACCCCCCTGAACCCCTTATCATAACAACGCCCAAAATAATTACATATTTAACCACGTAAACCACAATTAATTATCAGTTGAATTAATCGTAAAATAACAATGACTTGACGTTGATAATCTACGTCATAGGTGAGTGTATATATAGGAGAGGCAGCCATTGTATTAGTCAGTGTGTGTTAAGCAGTCGAGGTGGGAGTTACTGCTCGCTGGTAAGTTAAGAATTGTGTTATTTATTATTAGTTTTTGTTAATATTTTCTATTATAATGATGTTAATTAGTCATTATTCTACTTCTTTTTGTTAAATATCATTAGTTTATTTCTTATTTTTTCTTCCAGGATGAATTAGTTAGTATTTTTTTTATTACCAGGACGATCTAGTCAACCATTTATTTATCCCAGGACGATCTAGTCAACAAATTTTACCAGGACGATCTAGTCAACCATTTATTTATCCCAGGACGATCTAGTCAAATACTCGGACGAACTAATCTATTTTTTTTACTAGGACAAACTAGAGAGTGGTAACCTTGCGTCACCATCACGACAATGAGTGACACTATCAATTTCACCATCAACGGGGAAGCCCATGAAGGTGAGTAGACTCGAGTCACTATCACTTAAGAAATGAAGTCAAATTTCACCCCAGTAATTTAAATAATCTCCCCAGTACTAGTAAACTCCCCATTAATCACCCCAGTAAATTTAACCCCCCAGTAACTGAAATAATCACCCCCAATATCTTAAATAATCACCCCGATAATTGTAATCACCCCAGGAACTCACTCACCAGTCACCCTCCAATTCTCTCTCCTCCCCAACAGTGGGTGCAGGTGGGGAGGTGACGGCCACAACTACCCTGCAGAAGTACCTCCATGGCCAGCCATGACGGGGTCGCGAACGTGTTTGGAGGGCAGCTGTGGGGCGTGTATTGTAGTGGCCGACATACCTGACCCAAATAGTGGTGATAGATGGAGTGGTGCTGTTAATAGTGTGTTGGAGGTGTTGGAGGGTGTTGGAGGTGTTGAGGGCAGTGTGGGGCGTGTTGTAGTGACGACATACCTGACCCAAATAGTGGTGATAGATGGAGGGTGCTGTTAATAGTGTAAGTTGGAGGGTGTTGGAGGGTGTTGGAGGGTGTTGGAGGGTGTTGGAGGGTGTTGGAGGGTGTGGAGGGTGTTGGAGGGTGTTGGAGGGTGTTGGGGGTGTTGGAGGGCAGCTGTGGGCGTGTATTGTAGGGCGGACATACCTGACCCAAATAGTGGTGATAGATGGAGGGTGCTGTTAATAGTGTAAGTTGGAGGGTGTTGGAGGGTGTTGGAGGGTGTTGGAGGGTGTTGGAGGGTGTTGGAGGGTGTTGGAGGGTGTTGGAGGGTGTTGGAGGGGTGTTGGAGGGTGTTGGAGGGTGTTGAGGGCAGCTGTGGGCGTGTATTGTAGTGGCCGACATACCTGACCCAAATAGTGGTGATAGATGAGTGGTGCTGTTAATAGTGTAAGTTGAGGGTGTTGAGGGTGTTGGAGGGGTGTTGAGGTGTTGGAGGGGTGTTGGAGGGTGTTGAGGTGGAGGGTGTTGGAGGGTGTTGGAGGGTGTTGGAGGGTGTTGAGGGCAGCTGTGGGGCGTGTATTAGTGGTGGACATACCTGACCCAAATAGTGGTGATAGATGGAGTGGTGCTGTTAATAGTGTGTTGGAGGGTGTTGGAGGGTGTTGGAGGGTGTTGGAGGGTGTTGGAGGGTGTTGGAGGGTGTTGGAGGGTGTTGGAGGGTGTTGAGGCAGCTGTGGGGCGTGTATTGTAGTGGCGACATACCTGACCCAAATAGTGGTGATAGATGGAGGGTGCTGTTAATAGTGTAAGTTGGAGGTGTTGGAGGGGTGTTGGAGGGTGTTGGAGGGTGTTGAGGGTGTTGGAGGGGTGTTGGAGGTGTTGGAGGGTGTTGGAGGTGTTGGAGGGTGTTGGAGGGTGTTGGAGGGTGTTGGAGGGTGTTGGAGGGTGTTGGAGGCAGCTGTGGGCGTGTATTGTAGTGGCCGACATACCTGACCCAAATAGTGGTGATAGATGGAGTGGTGCTGTTAATAGTGTAAGTTGGAGGGTGTGGAGGGTGTGGAGGGTGTTGGAGGGAGTTGGAGGGTGTTGGAGGGTGTTGGAGGGTGTTGGAGGGTGTTGGAGGGTGTTGGAGGGGTGTTGGAGGGTGTTGGAGGGTGTTGGAGGGTGTTGGAGGGTGTTGGAGGGTGTTGGAGGGGTGTTGGAGGGTGTTGGAGGGTGTTGGAGGGTGTTGGAGGGCAGCTGGGGGCGTGTGTATTGTAGTGGCCGACATACCTGACCAAATAGTGGTGATAGATGGAGTGGTGCTGTTAATAGTGTAAGTTGGAGGGTGTTGGAGGGGTGTTGGAGGGTGTTGGAGGGTGTTGGAGGGTGTTGGAGGGTGTTGGAGGGTGTTGGAGGGTGTTGGAGGGTGTTGGAGGGTGTTGAGGTGTTGGAGGGTGTTGGAGGGTGTTGGAGGGTGTTGGAGGGCAGCTGTGGGGCGTGTACTGTAGTGGCCGACATACCGACCCAAATAGTGGTGATAGATGGAGTGGTGCTGTTAATAGTGAGTTGAGGGTGTTGAGGGTGTTGAGGGTGTTGGAGGGTGTTGGAGGGTGTTGGAGGGTGTTGGAGGGTGTTGGAGGGTGTTGGAGGAAGTTGGAGGGTGTTGAGGGTGTTGGAGGGGCGTTGAGGGTGTTGGAGGGTGTTGAGGGTGTTGGAGGGTGTTGAGGGTGTTGGAGGGTGTTGGAGGGTGTTGGAGGGGTGTTGGAGGGTGTTGGAGGGGTGTTGAGGGGTGTTGGAGGGTGTTGGAGGGTGTTGGAGGGTGTTGGAGGGTGTTGGAGGGTGTTGGAGGGTGTTGAGGGCAGCTGTGGGGCGTGTATTAGTGGCTGACATACCTGACCCAATAGTGGTGATAGATGGAGTGGTGCTGTTAATAGTGTAAGTTGGAGGGTGTTGGAGGGTGTTGGAGGGTGTGGAGGGTGTTGGAGGGTGTTGAGGGTGTTGGAGGGAGTTGAGGGTGTTGGAGGGGTGTTGGAGGGCGTTGGAGGGCGTTGGAGGGTGTTGAGGGTGCTGGAGGGTGTTGGAGGTGTTGGAGGGTGTTGAGGTGTTGGAGGTGTTGGAGGGGTGTTGGAGGGTTGAGGGTGTTGAGGGTGTTGGAGGGTGTTGGGGGTGTTGGAGGGGTGTTGAGGGTGTTGGAGGGTGCTGGAGGGTGTTGGAGGGCAGCTGTGGGGCGTGTATTGTAGTGGCCGACATACCTGATCTGTGGTGATAGATGGAGTGGTGCTGTTAATAGTGTAAGTTGGAGGGTGTTGGAGGGGTGTTGGAGGTGTTGGAGGGTGTTGGAGGGTGTTGGAGGGTGTTGGAGGGGTGTTGAGGGTGTTGGAGGGGTGTTGGAGGGCAGCTGTGGGGCGTGTATTGTAGTGGCCGACATGCCTGACAAATAGTGGTGATAGATGGAGTGGTGCTGTTAATAGTGTAAGTTGGAGGGTGTTGGAGGGGTGTTGGAGGGTGTTGGAGGGTGTTGGAGGGTGTTGAGGGTGGAGGGTGTTGGAGGGTGTTGGAGGGGTGTTGGAGGGCAGCTGTGGGGCGTGTATTGTAGTGGCCGACATACCTGATCCAAATAGTGGTGATAGATGGAGTGGTGCTGTTAATAGTGTGTTGGAGGGTGTTGGAGGGTTGGAGGTTGAGGGTGTGGGGGGTGTTGGGAGGTGTTGAGGGTGTTGGAGGGGTGTTGGAGGGTGTTGGAGGGTGTTGGAGGGAAGGAGGGTGTTGGAGGGTGTTGGAGGGGTGTTGGAGGGGTGTTGGAGGTGTTGGAGGGTGTTGGAGGGGGGGTGTTGGAGGGCAGCTGTGGGGCGTGTATTGTAGTGCTGACATACCTGACCAAATAGTGGTGATAGATGGAGTGGTGCTGTTAATAGTGTGTTGGAGGTGTTGGAGGTGTTGGAGGTGTTGGAGGGTGTTGGAGGGTGTTGGAGGGGTGTTGGAGGGCAGCTGTGGGCGTGTATTGTAGTGGCCGACATACCTGACCAAATAGTGGTGATAGATGGAGTGGTGCTGTTAATAGTGTAAGTTGAGGTGTTGGGGTGAGGGTGGAGGGTGTTGGAGGGTGTTGGAGGGGAGCTGGAGGGTGTTGGAGGGTGTTGAGGGTGTTGAGGGAGCTGGAGGGTGTTGGAGGGTGCTGGAGGGAGCTGAGGGTGCTGAGGGTGTTGGAGGCAAGCTGGTGGGGTGTTGAGGCAGCTGTGGGGCCTGTATTGTAGTGGCCGACATACCTGATCCAAATAGTGGTGATAGATGGAGTGGTGCTGTTAATAGTGTAAGCTGGAGGGTGTTGGAGGGTGTTGGAGGGTGTTGGAGGGGTGTTGGAGGTGCTGGAGGGTGTTGGAGGGTGTTGGAGGGGTGGAGGGGTGTTGGAGGGCAGCTGTGGGGCGTGTATTGTAGTGGCTGACATACTGGATCCAAATAGTGGTGATAGATGGAGGGTGCTGTTAATAGTGTAAGTTGGAGGGTGTTGGAGGGGTGTTGGAGGGTGTTGGAGGGTGTTGGAGGGGTGTTGGAGGGTGTTGGAGGGTGTTGGAGGGGTGTTGGAGGTGTTGAGGGTGTTGAGGGGTGTGGAGGGTGTTGGAGGGTGTTGGAGGGTGTTGGAGGGTGTTGGAGTGTGGAGGGTGTTGGAGGGTGTTGAGGGAGCTGGAGGGCAGCTGGGGGCGTGTAGTGGCATACGACAAAGTGGTGATAGATGGAGTGGTGCTGAATAGTGTAAGTTGGAGGGTGTTGGAGGGTGTTGGAGGGTGTTGGAGGGTGTTGGAGGTGTTGGAGGGTGTTGGAGGGTGTTGGAGGGGTGTTGGAGGGTGTTGAGGTTGAGGGTGTTGAGGGCAGCTGGGCGTGTACTGTAGTGGCTGACATACCTGACCAAATAGTGGTGATAGATGGAGTGGTGCTGTTATAGTGTAAGTTGGAGGTGTTGGAGGGTGTTGGAGGGTGTTGGAGGGGTGTTGGAGGGTGTTGGAGGGTGTTGGAGGGTGTTGAGGGTGTTGGAGGGGTGTTGGAGGGTGTTGAGGTGTTGAGGGGTGCTGGAGGTGTTGGAGGGTGTTGGAGGGTGAGGGTGTTGGAGGGTGTTGGAGGGTGTTGGAGGGTGTTGGAGGGGTGTTGGAGGTGTTGGAGGGTGCTGGAGGGTGTTGAGGTGTTGGAGGCAGCTGTGGGTGGTACTGTAGTGGCGACATACCTGACTCAAATAGTGGTGATAGATGGAGTGGTGCTGTTAGTGTAAGTGGGAGGTGTTGGAGGGGTGAGGTGTTGAGGGGTGTTGGAGGGTGTTGGAGGGTGTTGAGGGTGTTGAGGGTGTTGGAGGGTGTTGAGGGTGTTGGAGGGTGTTGGAGGGTGTTGGAGGGTGTTGGAGGGTGTTGGAGGGTGTTGGAGGTAGGGAGGGTGTTGGAGGGTGTTGGAGGGTGTTGGAGGGCAGCTGTGGGGCGTGTATTGTAGTGGCTGACATACCTGATCCAAATAGTGGTGATAGATGGAGTGGTGCTAACAGTGTAAGTTGGAGGGGTGAGGTGTTGGAGGGTGTTGGAGGGTGTTGGAGGGTGTTGAGGGTGTTGAGGTGTTGGAGGGGTGTTGGAGGGTGTTGGAGGGGTGTTGGAGGGTGTTGGAGGTGTTGGAGGGTGTTGGAGGGTGTTGGAGGGTGTTGGAGGGTGTTGGAGGGTGTTGGAGGGTGTTGGAGGGCAGCTGTGGGGGTATTGTAGTGGCCGACATACCTGACCAAATAGTGGTGATAGATGGAGGGTGCTGTTAAGGAAGGAGGTGTGAGGTGTAGGTGGAGGGTGCTGGAGGGGTGTTGAGGGTGTGTGGAGGGGTGTTGGAGGGTGTTGAGGGTGTTGGAG